CTATAGCTCAGTTGGTTAGAGCATTCGGCTAATAACCGAAAGGTCGCCGGTTCGAGACCGGTTGGGACCATTTCTTTAAACACTTTTAAAACCCTTTTCCAAACCCTAAACCCTAAACCCTAAACCCTAAACCCTTGGATTTGGGCCCCTTCCGCCGACTCCGCCTTCGCTTTCCTCGACCAGCGAGGGTTTAGGGTTTGGGTGCTCAAAGTGAGCCAGTTGCTTCCAAGCAGTCCACGCATATTAGGGTTTAGGGTTTAGGGTTTAGGGTTTGGCATTCCTCAACGTCTCTAAGAGCAGCTTCCTTAAGAAGTCTCATAAAGGGGCCCCCTTTGGGAGCCTCTGGGGGCCCCCCAAAGGGGCCCCTATGTGTCTCAGAGGGTCCTGAAAACGAACCCCCAAAGGGGCCCCCAAAGGGGCCCCCAAAGGGGCCCCCAAAGGGGCCCCCAAAGGGGCCCCCAAAGGGGCCCCCTGGTGGCCCTTTGGGGGGCCCCAGGGCCCTTTGGGGGCCCTTTTGGGGGCCCCCCGGGCCCATTGGGGGCCCCCTTTAGGGGCCCCCAATCGACAAGTGGGGGTCTCGAACTGTGTCAGGGGGGCCCCCCCGCTCTGGACTGAGCCTCTGGCCACAGTCTCGGGTTTAGGGTTTAGGGTTTAGGGTTTAGGGTTTAGTCCCAGAGGAGGTAGGCGTTAGCGACTTTCCTTGCCTGGGGCAGAGCCCCTTGAGAAGCCCAGAGGCTGTAGAGGTTGAAGGCGGTGCACTGCACGCAAAACCCTAAACCACAAATTAGGGTTTAGGGTTTAGGTGCACTGCATGCGCCCCGCAAAGCCCTAAACCACAAAGTAGGGTTTAGGGTTTGCTTTGGCGCCGGCACCGCGAACACGGCCCGAGCGCTTGAAGCTCACTCTCAACGCCCACGGCCTAGGGTTTAGGGTTTAGGGTTTAGGGTTTAGGGTTTAGTTTCCTCACCATCCGCAGCTGCATCCACTCCTGCCTCAAAGTGGGGTCTTTTGGGGGCCCCCAGGGGCCCCCCAGGTCCTCAGCGGTCTCCCCAAGGGCCCCCAGGGGCCCCCCAAGTGCTCCCAGGGGGCCCCCGAGGGCCCCCAGGGGCCCCTCAAGGGCCTCTGGGGGCCCCTCAGGGCTTTCAGGGGGCCCCCCAGGGGCCCCTGGGGGCCCCTCAGGGGGCCCCTGGGGGCCCCCAGGGGCCCCTAGAAGAGCCCCCGGGGGCCCCTCAGGGGCCCCCAAGGGCCCCTCAAGGGGCCCCTGGGGGCCCCCCAGAATTGCGAGGCAGCGGAGGTATAAAGGAACACAAAAACGAGACAGGCGGAGGTGGTGGTAGGCCCTGAAAAAAGGATAATTAATTAATTAATTAATTAATTAATTAATTAATTAATTAATTAGAATACTAATTACAATAATAATTAGAATAATAGTTAGAATAATTAATATTTAATTACTAGTTATTCTGAGTAATTCTGAATAAATAATAATTCTGAATAATTAATAATTAATTATTAATTATTCTAATTGTTATTCTAATTAATTAATTAATTAATTAATTAATTAATTAATTAATTGGTAAGAATACAGAATAAACGAAAAAGCAAGAAAACAAAAGGTCTCAAAAGCTGGGGCTGTGGGGCAAGAAGCCAAAAACAAAAAAAAGAAATGAAAAAAATTGGAATTTAAATTAAAAATAAAAATAAAAAAGGAAAATAAAAATAAAATAAAAATAAAATAAAAGTTAAATAAAATTTGTCTCTTTTGGCTGCAGAATGAGCACCTTCGGGCAAGCCAAAGGCCTCGAGGGTTTAGGGTTTAGGGTTTAGGGTTTTGGGGAGTAGGGTTTGAGGGCTTAGGGGTCTAGGGTTTAGCGTTTGGGACTCCACAGTTTAGGGTTTAGGGTTTAGGGTTTAGGGCTTCAGGCTTTAGGGTTCAAGGTTTAGCGTCAGGGGTTTAGGGCTTGCAGCGCAGGACTTAGGGTTTAGGGTTTAGGGTTTAGGGTTTAGGGTTTGCGTGCCGGGCGAAGTTGTAAATGGTTTCCGCAATGAAGAGCCTCCTGTCTGTACACCCCAACTGACTCTTCTGCCGCAACTCTGCATATCGACAAAGAATTGAAAACCCTTTCAAAACTGCTGCGTGGCGGTCCTGCAGCGCAAACCCTAAACCCTAAACCCTAAACCCTAAACCCTAAACCCTAAACCCTAAACCGTAAGCCCTGGACCCTACGCCCTGAACGCTGAACCCTAAACGCTGAACCCTAAGCTTTGCACCCAAAACTCTAAACCCTAAACCCTAAACCCCAAACCCCAAACCCCAAACCCCAACCCCTAAACCCTAAACCCCAAACCCGAAATCCCAAACCCTAAGCCTATACCCTAAACCCTAAACCCTAAACCCTACCTGGAGCGCGTGTGCGCTGGCGTGGAACAGAAAAGCAGCAGCAACCCTAAACCCCAAACCCTAAACCCTAAACCCTAAACCCTAAACCG